TTGGAAGGATGATTATGTCAGTGCTGTGGAATAGTATATTCAAATGGAGATAATGTAGATGTCAAGCAATAGGGAATTGTTTACATAGGTTATATCGGTACAAACTAGTGTTTTATAATTTTATTAGTTGTCTCAGAAATTAATTTTTGGCTTTGTTGATTTGTCTTTCTTGTACAGTTATTTTCTAGTTTGCTGATTATGTGTTTGTTATTTTCTTTTTTCTACTTTCTTTGAGTTTAATTTGCTATTCTTTTTGTAGCTTCTTGAGATGAATGCTGACATTGCTTTTCAGCCTTCTCTTCTTTTTTTTTTTTAATTTTTTTCTAAAGATGGGGTTTCACCATGTTATGTTGGTCAGGCTGGTCTTGAACTCCCGACCTCAGGTGATCCGCCTGCCTTGGCCTCCAAAGTGCTTGGATTACGGGCGTGAGCCACCATGCCCGGCCCTAAATTCTTGTTGGTTTTTGTTTTTATGTTTTTGAGACAGAGTCTGGCTGGAGTACAATGGCGTGATCTCTGCGTATTGCAACCTCCACCTCCCGAGTTTAAGTGATTCTCATGCCTCAGCCTCCCAAGTAGCTGGGACTACAGGTGCGCGCCACCATGCCTGGCTAATTTTTGTATTTTTTGGTCAAGACGGGGTTTCACCATGTTGGCCAGGCTGGTCTTGAACTCCTGACCTCAGGTGATCCGCCCACCTTGGCCTCCCAAAGTGCTGGGATTACAGGCGTGAGCCACTGTGCCCAGCCTTCCTTCTCTTCTAATACATGATTTAAGGATATAAATTTACCTTGAAGCAACACTTTGGCTCTATTCCTCAGTTTTTTGATATGTTGAATTTTTATTATCATTCACTTATTAATTTCCCTGGGCAATTTTTCTGTGAACCATTTCATAAATTGCTTTATTTGCTTTATTTCCAAAAATTTGGCAGCTTTTAAGTTATCCTTCTGCCCTCAATTTCTTTTTTCTTTTTCTTTTGAGACAGAGTCTCTCTCTGTTGCCCAGGCTAGAGTGCAGTGGTGTGATTTTGGCTCACTACAACGACTGCCTCCAGGTGTCAAGCAATTCTCCTGCCTCAGCCTCCTGAATAGCTGGGACTACAGGCACACACTGCCATGCCCAGCTAATTTTTTGTATTTTAGTGGAGACAGGGTTTTGCCATGTTGCCCAGGCTGGTTGTGAACTCCCGAGCTCGGGCAATTCACCTGCTTTGGCCTCCCAGAGTGCTGGGATTACAGGTATGAGCCACCACAACCAGCCAATTTCTTCTTTTAAATGTTTAAATTTTATTTATTTATTTATCTATTTTTACAATCTTTTTTGGGACATTTCTGCTCTCAACTTCTGGGATAATTTCACTGTGAACAATGCACATGCTCTATTATCTATCTGTGTGTATTTTTTGAAATTTGTTGAGACTTGCCATCCTGACTCCTCATTCCATCTGCTGCCAGCTGCTTTTAACATTTTTTTCTCGGGCTGGGTGCGGTGGCTCACACCTGTAATCCCAGCACTTTGGGAGGCTGAGGTAGGTGGATCCCTTAATCCCAGGAGTTTGAGACCAGCCTAGGCCACATGATGAAACCCCGTCTCTACAAAAGATAAAAAAATTAGCCGGGCATTGTAGTGCACACCTGTAGTCCCAGCTACTCAGAAGGCTGAGGTGGGAGAATTGCTTGAATCTGAGAGCTGGAGGTTGCATTGAGCCATGATTGTGCCACTGCACTGCAGCCTGGGTGACAGAGCAAGATGATGCTATCTAAAAAAATAAGCTGTTTCACCCAAGATCACACTCTGTTGCAGGGCAGCCTACATCCAGTGACTGGTAGTTGCACAAGTGTAAAGGCCCATCCCCATTGTGCCAGCTCAGGAGTACTCTCAAGGAAGGGCATTCCAGTTTCACAGCACCTCATGGGATTGACTGAGGGAGGCATTGCATTCTCCTCAGGTTGTATACTGAATACAACTTAAACTTTTCTGAGTGATGAGTAATCAATAATCCAGTAGTACAGTGAATCCCTCATAGTCTACTAAGGTGTTATGGAATATTTGCCCATATACTAAACTGCCTCAAGTCAAAATATTTGGAGGGTCTGCATCCTTCATTATTAGGTCATAAACCCTTCCTTTTTGTTATATTTTCAAAGCTTCTCTAGTTCCCTGTATTTTCACAGCTTTTCTTCTGTAGTGAATACTCTTTGGAGGATTTTCCTAGAACGTAAGAACCTTCTTTAATCCCTAGCCATTTTATATGACTCGACTTCCTCCATCACCTCAGCCACAAGGAGCTGGACCAGGAGTGGCAACTTGGCCATTCCATGTGCATTTCCTGGGACGTTTCCACGGGAGGAAGCTCACTTTCTATAGTTATTCCTGTAAACTTGAAGCTCAGTAGCTATGCAGTGGGCATCATTTACCAGCCATGTGGCCTAGAAAGCACAGGAGGCAGATATACACAAATGTGCAGAGATGAAAAACTGAGAGGGATGATGAGCTGTCCAAGCCCTGCTTCCAATCCTGGCCGAAGCACCGTTCCTGTTCTTGGGCTTCATGAAGGGACCTGTATCCTTATAATCCTCTTTGCCTGCCTTAACTCAAGCCAGTTTATGCTACTTAGGACAACATTAATTTTCTGTCTTTAAACTCAGATGAACTTGGAAACTGTATAACAGATAAAGTTAGAAAATAAGACTAGAGGTAGAGTTTTTGAATGAAAACAAGTGATTCTCTCCCAAGAAAAGCTTTAGTGCATACAAGGACTTTGTGTCTTCTCTTTTGAGCACTCAGAGTCCATTTTTGCATCTTAAACTTCTATTTATGTCTATTTACTTATTTTAATTGACAAGTAAATACTGTATATATTATTTATGGCTTACAATATGATGCTTTGATATATGTATACATTATAGAATAGCTAAAGCAAGCTGTTTAATATATGTATTACCTCACATATGTTTTTGTGGTGAGAACACAACATCTACTGTTAACAATTTTCAGATATACAATGTATTGTTACTAAACATGGTCATCATGAAGTACAGTAGATCTTTTGAACTTATTCTTCCTAACTGAAATTTTGTGTTTTTTGACCAGTAGTTCCCCAGTGTCCCTGACCCTCAGCCTCAGGTAATCTCCACTTCACCCTGTGCTTCTATGACTTTGACATTTTTACACTCCACATATAAGTGAAATCATGCAGTATTTATCTTTCTGTGACTAGCTCATTTCACTTAACATAATGTCCTCCAGGTTCATTCATGTCATCCCAAAAGACAAGATTTCCTTCTCTCCTAAGGCTGAATAGTATTCTATTGTGTATATAGCACATTTTCATTTTCTACCCATTTGTTAGTGGACACTTAGGTTTGCTTTGGATAGTTGAATTTTAATTACTTTTAAGTCAATTTAATTTTTTTTTGTATTTTATGCTTCAATATATTTTGATATATATGTCAAAATATATATATGGATATGTATATCATATATATCTCAAGAATGAATGCTAGCTAATATTGAAACTTGTAAATAGTATAAGGAAAACTAATTTGTCAATTGGACATTGTTGAGAATTATGTTATTGTCAACCTTTAACACTTGCCCACAGCTTGGCACCTAGCACCTAGGTTAATAGGTAACAGGAAAGGCCAGGCGCAGTGACTCACACCTGAATCCCAGCACTTGGGAGGCCAAGGTGGGTGGATCGCCTGAGGTCAGGAGTTTAAGACTAGCCTGGCCAACATGGAGAAACCCCTGTCCCTAATGAAAATACAGAAATTAGCCAGACATGATGGCATGTGCCTGAAGTCCCAGCTACTTGGAAGGCTGAGTCAGGTGAATCGCTTGAACCAGAGAAGGGGAGGTTGCAGTGAGCCGAGTTGGCGCCACTGCACTCCAGACTGGGTGACAGAGAGAGAGTCCATCAAAAAAAGATAACAAGAAATGACATTAGATCTTTTTTTAATCAAAGTGTTATTTTGAGGGATCTCTGTGACTAAATACTGTAGTATATTTGTAACCGAACACTAAATGATTTCCATCGGCAAGAAGGATCTATGGGTGTTAGCATAGAACCAAGACGACGCTTGGTCCCTTGTACATCTGTGGGCTTTGTTCTGGTCCCCAGCCAGAGAGTTCATCTTATATTTTTGATCATATTGGATAATATATTGTGGGAGGATTAGTGAAAAGTCATCCTTAGTAATAGGGAATGTTTTGATGATGAGTCATTAATGCGTTTTGTTTGGAGATCAAAGATGGCACCATTCAGTGATAAACATGTATTTCCTTCATATGATATAGGGAAGACGTTTGACTCTGTATTGCTGATTTGCTCTGGTCCTCCCTGCCTCATTCTTTTCTGTGTATTATAGGTTGACATCTCAGATTGTGGGGTGTTGGAGTGAGGGGCCGGGCAGTGAAGCTTGCTGTGCTGGTAGTTTGCCCTTGGGCTTTTAGTTGTTTTTTTTCTTCTCTTAATATGGTACAAGCTAAAATATGGTTTCATAATACTTGTGTTTCAAATAATTTCTTATTGAATACAAATTATTTATAGTTTCAGATAAAGGATATACTTTTGCCCACATTTCTCTCACTTCCTTCAATTCAACTCTTGTCTATGAAGGCTGTGTAACAGTAACTCAGAATTGACAGTATTTCCAGTGTGTAGACCTTGTTGTCAAGGTTTTAGACACACAGAGGCTAATGCCTCCTGGAGTATAATATTATTGTATAAGCAAGTACCAGTGCTAAAGAATACATTTTTTTTTGAGGCTGAGTCTTGCTGTATTTCCCAGGCTGGAGTGCAGTGGCACGATCTCGGCTCACTGCAACCTCCACCTCCCGGGTTCAAGTGATACTTGTGCCTCAGCTCCCCCAGTAATTGGAATTACAGGTGCCCTCCACCATGCCTGGCTAGTTTTTGTGTTTTTAGTAGAAACAGGATTTCACCATGTTGTCCAGGCTAGTCTCAAACTCCTGACCTCAAGTGATCTGCCCACCTCGGCCTCCCAAAGTGCTGGGATTACAGGCACGAGCCACTGTACCCAGCCCCAAATAATACATTTTTGAAATGGAAGAAACATTCTCTACTCTTTTTTAATATGCTATGGGAAAGAGTGGCTACATATTTATTGTATAGCTATGCAATTAATGATTCAAAATATAATACATCTCATTTGCAGTGCTCCATAGATTATTAAAGATCATTTGCAAGCCACTTAACCTGTGGCTGTAATTAAATTACTCTCAAACTTCTGGCTTTGAGGTTTAATTTTCCCTGGACAAAAGGCTACCTTTTCTCTCTCTATCTTCCAAAACATGTTGACTAACTCTTGATTGTCCAGATAGAAAGGCTTTTTCACATATGGCCTGTGCCAACCTTTCTTCCCTCAGGCCTTGGTGACAGACTAAGGGTTCTATAAACTCTGCTTCTCATCCCCACTAGCCTATAGGCCCGGTTGACTTGCAGCCTAAGCACTATCTCTGAGTTTTCTCCTGCGTTTACAACCAAAACTTTTTAGTATGGGAAGATCTAACACATATACTAAAGTAGAAAGAACAGTACAATAAATTCCCATGTACCTGGGCCCCAGCTTCAACAGTATCAACTCCCCGCCAATCTTATGCCAGCTATACTCTCACCCACTTTTGCCCTTCCATATTATTTTGAAGCAAATCCCAGACATACTGTTAATTCATCCCAAATATTCCAGTGTGTATCTGTGCAGAAAAGAGCATAGCAGGCCTGACTGCTATCCTTTGAAAGGCCTGTTTATAAGGTTGACGAGCATCTGGGAGCTTGGATTTTGGGAGGGTTCTCACCACCTTAACTAGTAGTCATGTACTGTGCCTAAGCTTTATGTAAAAATTACATGGTTTGTGATGAGCACTTTGTTTTCTTCTGGGAGTCTGAAATCTTGATAAGTGCTAGACAGACTGTGCCTATGTATGTCCCAGTAAAAGCTTTGAGCAGTGTCTCTCTAATGAGCCTCTTTGGTAGATAGCATTGTTGTAACTAGCTGCTCTGGGAATTAAGCCCATCCCATGTGACTCCACTGAGAGAGGGCTTTTTGAAGCCTGTGTTTGGTTTCTTCTAAACATTATTACCTCATGCACCTTTTCCTTTTGCTGATTTTGCTCTGTGTCTTTTTGCTGTAATAACTCTTGGCCACAAGTACAGCTATATGCTGAGTCCTGTGAACCTTCCTACCAAATCACCAAACCTGGGTATGGTCTGGGAATCTCCAACAGATTATCTCTAACATAAGCACTTAAAAAAACCCATGTACCTATGTGTGACCACAAAACCCTTTTGACACTAAAAATGTTTATGATTCCTTAATATTATCAAATATCAAGCCAGTGTTTGTATTTTCTATTGTCTTGTAAATGTACTCTTTTTTTTCTGCTTTGTTCTATCAAGGTTCAGGTATTGCAACTGGTTGATACTTCTAAGTCTCAAGCTATAGGTTCGCGCTTGATCTCTTTTTCTTTCCTTTTTTCCTTGAAATTTATTTTATTGAAAAAACTGGATCATTTCTCCTGCATAGTTTCCCACAGTCTAGTTTTTGCTAATTATATTGCCATGGTGTAGTTCAATGTGTTGCTTTCTGAATTAATAGTTGGATCTAGAGCCTTCTTGTGTGAGTTTTTGAAAGTCCAACGCCCTCATATATCCTGAGGATATGCCTTGATTTCCATTTGATTAATGTTTGCCAAGAACATTGATGTGCTTGGATGAAAGGGAATTAAACAGTAAATATCTTTGTTTTCGTTCGCATGAGACAGATCTTCTGACACTTGGAGCCTGACTCATCTTACTTTAGAGAATCCAATAAAAAATATGTGGCTTAGTGTTCATTACTTGCTTTTCAGCAGGTAACCCTGGCAATGATCTCTGAGCAAAAGGTGGCTTTATTTATCTAGGATTGGTACAGTGTCATTGTGACCAGATAATATGATGTAGGTTTCTACCATCTACCATCATGTGGGGTTTTCTTATTTTGTGAAGACTCTAAAACCAAAATATTAATAGAAAACATCAGAACCCTACTAAAAACTGTAGACCCCCCACATGCGTTAATTTGCTATGCAGTGAAATCTGTCAGTACATTAGTAATGAAGTTCTAATTAATGAGTTACTTAAGTCCCTCTTAATTCAACTCTGTAGGAATAATTCAACAGCCAAGGCTCAATGTCGTTATCATAGGTCATCTTTGGAGGTGTGCCTTTTTTGAAACAGCTGGATGGTTGGGCATTTAATAAACATTTAGAATGTAAATGTATACTTAAATTGAAACAAATTAATTGTGGTAAAGTACACATAACGTAAGTTTGCCATCTTAACCATGTGTAAGTATACAGATCGGTAGTGTTAAGTACATTCATATTGTTGTACAACCAGCCTGGGCATGGTGGCTTACATCTGTAATCCCAGCACTTTGAGAGGCTGAGACAGGAGGATCGCTTGAGCCCAGAAGTTCAAGGCCAGCATAGGCAGCATAGTGAGACCCTATCTCTACAAAAAATAAAAAAAATTAGCTGGATGTGGTGGCATGCACCTCTAGTCCTAGCTACTTGGGAGGCTTAGGTGGGAGGATTGCTTGAGGAGAGCCTGAGACTGCAGTGAGCTGTGATCATCACACCACTGCACTCCAGCCTGGGCAAGAGAATGAGACCCTGTCTCAGACAACAACAACAACATATTGTTGTACAGCCAGTCTTCAGAATTCTTCATCTTGTAAAACTATATCTCTGTACTCCTTAAACAATAACTCTATTCCCCACTCCCTCTAGTCCCTGGGAATCATTATTCTACTTTTTCTCTCTGAATTTGACTACTCTAGGTAACCTATATAAGTGGAACCATATATTATTTGTCTTTCTGTGACCGGCTTATTTCATATGGTATAATGTCCTCAAGGTTCATCCATGTTGTGTAATCTTTCAGAACTTCCTTCCCTTTTGAGGCTGAATAATGCATAAATATGCCACATTTTGTTTATTTATCCACTGATGGACATGGGTTGCTTCCATCCTTTGGCTATTGTGAATAATGCTGCTATGAACGTGAGTATACAAGCATCTCTTTGAGACCTTGCTTTCAAATCTTTTGGGTATATACCCCAAAGTGGGATTGCTGGATTGTATGGAATTATATGTTTAATTTTTTGAGGAACCACCATACTGTTTTTCATACTGGCTGCACCATTTTACATTACCACCACTAGGTCACAAAGGTTTTAATTTCTCTACATCCTCTCCAACTCGTGTTGTTTTCTAGTTTTTTGATTGTAGGCATTCTAATAGGTATGAAACGGTATCTCGTTGTGGGCTTGATTTGCATTTCCCTAATGATTAATGATGTTCAGCATCTTTTCATGTGCCTATTGGCCATTTGTGCATCTTGTTTAGAGAAACATCTATTCAAAGTATTTGCTTATTTTAAAACCAGGTTGTTCATTGTTGTTGCTGTTGAGTTGTAGAATTCTTTCTTTTTTGTTTTAAATTTATTTAGAGACGGGTGTCACTATGCTGCCCAGGCTGGTCTTGCATTCCTGGGCTCAAGCAGTCCTCCCGCCTCAGCCTCCTAAAGTGCTGGGATTACAGGTGTGAGCCACCATGCCCAGCTGAGTTGTAGAATTCTTTATATATTCTGGATCTGAATTCTTTATCAGATATGTGAATTGCAAATATTTCCTCTCATTTTGTGAGTTTCCATTTGACTCTGTTGATTGTGCCCTTTGATGCATAGAGGTTTTAAATTTTTTTTACTTTTTTCTTTTATTGCCTGTGCTCCTGGTGTCAGCTCCAAGAAATGAGTTCCAAATTCAGTACCGTGAAGTTACCCCCTGTGTTTTCTTCTAAGAGTCTACAGTTTTAGCTCTTAGTGTTTAGGTCTTTGGTCCATTTTGGGTTAATTTTTTTATGTGGTGTAATGAAGGTTTATCTTCATTCTCTGAAGTTTCACTTTTACGCTTTGGTTTAATGATGCATGTACATGCCATCTAGAAGACAAGGTAAGGTTCTGCATTTAGTTATATTATTGACAACTGCTTGCTGTGGAAATCTTGCCATAATGCTTCCTTCCATGGGCAGTTGTTACTGATCTATCTCATCTTTCTCCATAGAGTTTTAAGTTTTAAGAAAGAGAAATTGTTAAATATTATTTATTAGTTATTATTTATACTTTTTCGTTTAGCTTTTTAAACTTTTTATTATGAAAAGTTTTTAAAACATTCACAAAGTAGGGCAAAGAGTAAAACAAATCCCCCCCCAAGTACACAGCTTCAACAAATAACAGCCTTCTGCACATTTGCTTCATTACTTCTTTTTCCCAACATTTTCTCTTTCTGAAAGATTTTAAGGCAAATCACAGCCATTTTATTATTTCACTCATATTTATATGTTTAGTGTAAACATAGACATTTTTGACTAATGTGTGCTATGTCAGAATATGCCTTTCTATGTACTTTATAGTAGAGTGCTTGTATAATCAATTTTATTGTTTTAAAGCCTGGGACTAGGACTAGCACCAGCAGCAGAATTTTGATATTTGAAATTGCTTTAGAGTTTTATAATTTCACATATTTGCTTTATAGAATTTGTTTGATCATATCTACAACTAATGTGCTGCCTATGCTTCAGAAATGCAAACCCCAATTATAACATAGCTCTTTTTGGGAAATATGAACTGCTTTACAGTCCTCCACGTTAAAATGTAGTTTCCAAGAACTCGTTATTTAGACATCAGCTACATATGTTTGCAGATGTCTTGGATTGAAAACTCACAGGAAAGAATACAAAAATAAGCTTCTCTTTTTTTACTCCATTCTTGTCTTTTGAGTCCTGGTGGATACTATGCAACAAAAGCATCTGCCTCATCCCCTTAAGCGTTTTGTTTTTTTTTTTAACCCTGGAGAATTTAGTAAAGTTCAGTAAAGTGAGAGAACTTTTTGCTATAGAAGTACTATGTAGAAGTTAAGAATTCACAAATACATGACCATTGAAATGAGAGATAATCAGAGGCCTTACCCAGATTT